CACTACAGGTGAGCAGCTATGCATTGGTTATGTTGATTCGGATTATGCCGGGGATTTGGATAAGCGCCGGTCTACTACGGGGTATGTATTCACTTTGACCCGTGTGCCGGTATGTTGGAGATGTACCTTACAGTTTACGGTGGCTTTGTCTATGATGGGGGCAGAGTATATGGCAGTTACGGAGGCTGTGAAGGAAGCTATTTGGCTTCGAAGACTTTTTGAGGAACTTGGTATATTGCAGCGGTCCGTCACTATTCATTATGATAGCATGAGTGCTATCTATTTGGCGAAGAATCGGGTTTTTTATGCGGGGACGAAGCATATTAGCGTTCGTTATCACTTCATTCGAGATGTTCTTGAAGATGGCGATGTGGAGATTGTGAAAGTCCACACGAAGGATAATCCGATGAATATGCTCACTGGGGTGGTTCTGGGCAACAAGTTTGATCATTGTCGAAACTTGTTGCACATTCATGATTGTTGAGACCGTTGACGGCCATTTGGATGAACTACGGACGGCTTGATCTCTTAGGAGAGGGGATACGTAGGCAACCACATTGATGCAGCCGAATTTGGTGAGACGACACATTGGTGCTCATGTTGGTGTCGGCTTAGTTTTGGGAATTCTTCGTAGAGGTGGAGAATTGTTGGATAACAGTATTCCTAATCTATTTTGGTAACATGATGTTATTAGGATTCCTAATCTATTTTGGTAACATGAGGTTATTAGGATTCTTAATTTATTTTGGTAACATAAGGTTATTAGGATTCCTAATTTGTTTTGTTTTTGGTTTTAGGATTCCTACTCTGATTGAGTTTTAGTTTTTCTATATATATGGAGATTAGAATCAATCATAAAAAGAGAGGAGAGTTGTAATCAGATATTAGAGACTTTTGAGCATTGTGAGAGGGAGATATTGTGAGCAAGTTGAGAGCTTTGGTTGAGGGTTAGTTTGTGAGTTTTGTGAGAGTGTAACCCTTTGTACTCTCCTTGATTTAGTGGAATCTCCCCATCCTCTCTCCGAGGACGTAGGTAATTTGCTGAACCACGTAAAATTGGTTGTCTCGCTATTTGTGTGATTTGTAATAGCTTATTTAGATTCTCTCGATAGGTCAGTCCTAGAACTGATGAGAGGAAGAGCTGATATCCCACTTTGTTAATATATTTTGTTTAAGGTTCTTGTTTCCTTTGTGAAACAGGATTGCAACCTGACTCTCTTGTTGTGCTGCCGAAGTACTGCCGAAATTTCCGCTACGCGCAACAAATCATGCCATGTCAAAAGCATTGTCTAAGGTAATCCCAGAAACTCATCATGCTTTGTGTAGTTGGCATACAATGCAAAATACTTTGAAGCATTTGAGAAATTTAATGCAAACTGGCTCTAGCTTTCTTAAAGATTTCAGCGCATGCATGTACGAGTATGAGGAAAAAAGAGCAATTTGAAGATGCTTGGAGGACCATGCTTGACGAACGCAATGCTGGGGAGAAGTACACAACTTGGTGAAAGTTTGAACGGGGACTTAAAATATTATTTGAGAGTTTACTTTGATGCCAGTACGATTTTTCAAGCACTTTAAAAGAGTGATGGCTAACTAATAAGCTGTACAATGAGATTTAAGGCAGAGTATGAGTCAAGACCGAAGCTTCCCAAATTTAGTAACTAAAACTCCCCTATTTTAAATCAGGCATCTCGAGTCTATACTATATTCGTATTTGAAAATTTTCAAAAGGAATATGATTGATTTGTCGCTCGCAGAATTTTTGTAGTATCGCCATGAAATCGCAGGTTTATTATTCTCTAATAATATATATTTTATATTTCATGTTCCTTTGTCTATATAATTAGCCTCAAACACAAACAGATGTATGATAAACCACTTTGTACGTACTAGACTATGAGGAAAATTTATTCATGACCAAAAACATTATAATTATCTTTTAAATGTTGGGATAAGTGGGTATGCAGCCTGCTAGAAGGACTGAACATATTATAGATTACGAAAAAGCTGTTTGGCTCGCGCGCCAACGCGTGCACAGGCAGGAGGGTGGGCCCTACTGTGTCAGTGGGGCCCACCCCTGTATCTGTGCGCGTTGGCTCGCGCGTTAAAGTGCGAGCCAAATAGCGCTGCTCTATAGATTATAGGTATATGATTACCTTATCAATTAACCTCTGGCATTCAAGCAGTGATACTGACTTGAAAGCTGGCATGACGGGCAACTAGGTTTTATGAATTCAAACGTTGTTTTGCCTATTTGCAGTGAAGCACAGTGCAAAAAGAATTAACGCTTTCATTAATTGTGTTTTGCTTGATTATCTCTAGTTCTTAATTGTAACTTGAGTTGTTCTGTTGTTTCGTTAATGATGGAAAAGATCGCTTAAGATAATCTGAGAGTTTAAAGTTGTCGGCGATCGCTGTCAGCAAACGGTTGCATGTAGTTGCAGGGAGTATGAGACGTACGGAATTTCGCGTTGTCATGCATCAAAGTTTCTTGACGTGATGGATATCATGCTAATTCCTTCAAGGTATATTTCAAAAAGATGTACCATGCACAAAAGCAAGAGATGGGTTTATTACATATGCAATAGTGAACATGAAATACACAATAATGCGAAGTTGGATGTTACTGAACGTTATCGATATCTTTGGTTAGATTAGCTGCTCCAGCCACAGATGATGAAGAAGCATTTGATTTTGGTGACTAATAAGGCGACAAATAACTTGAGTGTGCAAGTAGAAGATGTTTATAATGAGAGGAGTGACGTATCTTCGATCAGAGCAAATTCAAACACAGATCAAATGCCTAAAGTGCTATCTGAAAAATGTGAAGGGGTTGAAAAAAAAAAGAACCGGAAGAAAAGGATAAAAGACTTAAAAGTTGGATATCAACCAACAAAATCTCAAAACACCTCTTGATGTATAACACAAAACACATCGAAATCATTTGAAATTTTGTTTCTAACTAGTTCGTGTGTAGTAGATCACATCTACTACAATTTGGATTTTCATTTATTGGTTAAGATTTTCAAAATTGGGTTGATAGCATCCGCATATATGATTGTTTTACTTGTTTGAAGGATTCATATATGATGTTGCATAAAAATCAAGCCGCTAGCAACGTGGTTAATTGCTCTTCTCAACAAAAAAAACTCCTCGTGCAACTCAGATAACTATACATATGAATAGTCATTATTGTCTTCAACGAACTTAGTTCTCATTAAACTAATCTTATGTTCTATGTCACTTGTACAGAATTTCGAATATCAATCTACAGATTTAATGGGCCATGATGATTTCTTTAATGCTAGAAAATCAATCTAGCTTTACTAATGGTAATTTTGAACTATAGTTTAAAGTTCACAATTTTTATAATAGAATATCGATTTGGATTAAAATTTGTATTATAGAATATCGATTTGGATTAACATTTATATTCTATTATGTTTTTGCAAGGTCGCTTTGATAATGACATATTTCATCTCTCTCAATTGTCTCCTATTAAAAAATTCCCCCAGTTGAGATCTTAATGATTATTTTTGTCACGTTTAACCTTAATTGCTACTTTGATAACTTTTTTTTTCTTTTTTTACCTTTTTTCCTTTTGGGAAACTTCTTCCAGGTGATGGGCAATGCCCAGCAGTCAAAAGATACCAATATAAGTGGTGTTGCAAGGATGACATAGGTTTAGTTTTGGTACACCTAATGGTATATGCTTAGAAGCTTTCACTGTGTACGCACACTTACAGAAGTAATTCGAATTCTTAAACAAACACAAAATATCTTGCCCTAGGCACATTTACAAAATATAGGAATTATAAATTAAAACACACTAATTATAAATCATCTATCTACCCTTTAAAAGAGGGAGTACTAGAAAAACTTTCACTACCCCAAATTGCCCTTCAACTTTTGTAAATATAACAAAGTTAATTTGGATCTAATTAATGGGCAAATTTATGAGGTGTTTTCCATTATTATTATGAATTTATAAAATGAGTTATAAAATCAAAAGCTTTCAAACCCAATAAATTCCAACTAATTGTCACAAGTTATGAGTTTTTTAATTAAGAATTAATGGAAAATTTGTTATGAAATGAAGAGGCTAAATATAGCATGGAACAGTGAGAACATTTCGGATTATAGGACTCTGAAAAGGTTTCCGAAAGTAGCCTGGCAACATGCCCGCTTGTTGTGGAAAAACTCGGTTCGTCTTCTTCTACAACGAAGGATATGTTTCATGCATTGAGATTGAACAACATTCTTAAATGTTAGATTGATGTCAAAACCATTAAGGTATCTTTATTAGCTAAGAAAAGAAATTGTTCTTCCCCCAAAAGTTTTTTGCTGATATTGAATTACCCATATATCTTCTTTTTGTTGAAGAGAATTGTGGGGAAATTGCATAGGAATGCTAGACTCAACTAATTGTGCCTCCCGTTTTGTTTGAAGAGAGCTGCTCGAGCAAGTCAATCCCCCTCCATCTCCCTCCCTCTTCCTTTTCTCTCCTCTCCCTGGGAGTGCCCATGTTGACCGATATGGATAATTTTGATGTTGGTTTTTTTTAGCGTGAAGTGAAGTGGATCATCCTTGATTGGCTAAGTTGGTTATTGCTCATGCGAGGCCTCCAAATTATTTGTTTTTCTTTGAGTTTTATGAGTGGGGGAATTTGGCAGAGAGATTGCATGTTGAGGAGTGGAGCCCTGAGATTGATGAAGAACTCGTGATTACTTATGATCTCGATATATTCTTTTGTATAATGTGTTGTATATGACTATTTACCGAAAATATCCTGTGAGATCAAATTAGACATTGCATTGTTTGTTTTGTACTAAATTGTTTGTTATTATTTCAGCTGATACACAAGTTTATTATGCTCGAGTTCTATTTCTATTTATATAGTTACATCCTTAATTGCCTTCTCTTTGATCTTCAATGTGTTCTGTTTTTATTTGAAACTTTATAAACATAAAAAACATATTTTCATTTTTCTGATGCAGAATCAAGGTTTTGATGTGTCACTGTCAGATGCCAGTAGTGTTTTTGATTCCATAAAGGTGATAAGCTTTTAACTCCTATGTATTCTTTTTCTTTTTTGCTACTTTTCCATTTAGTGAAGATGTATAACTTAAACCATTATTTCATCAGTCGCTTAGTCAAAGTGATGGAAGATGGCGATATGATTCTAGCAGTGCTAAATCCAGCACTTATGTTGCTGGTACTGAAATCTTTTACCTTTCTTGGTATCTATGTTGAAAATAACTTAACACTAGATGCTACATTTACCAGTTTATGTCTTTTGTAATTATTGCTTCACTTTAATTGGCTGGAAATCGTCTCATGTTAATGTTGTAACTGCTAAGTACAACTATTGTTGTGCCTGGTCAAACTGATCACTTTTCATGTTTGTACAGTTGCAGGGACAACACTTGAAACACTTGCAGGAGTGGTTTCCCTGGTAGATCCAGGGGTGGATCAATCAAGGGTAAGATTTACATTACCAATATTTGTTTTTTAAATTGTATGATTGTGCTATGATTAGCTTTGAGTAACTATTTGATATCAGAATGATCGTTCATAATTTTTACTCCTATTTAAAAATTAAGGAGAATATCTCTTACTTTTGCTTATAATTACACTTCGTAGATTAGATGCATTGCTATCCCACTGAACTTTATTTTGCTTAAATGTAAGACTCATTGGCTTTAGGTTAGTATGGCAATGTGATTCTATGTTAATCTTTCATGGCCATTTGAAAGTGAAAATTCTTTATTTTACTCAAGTTCTAAGGCTTCTTGCAAAGTTGCAAGCTTGCAATACATCTTGCTAATCCATAATACTCTGAAGCATTATCACTAAGAAGGCAATAATTCATCCAAGTTGTGTGAGATAGGAATGCGACATGCGATTGAGTACCAAATTGAGTGATGACTTTTTTTTCATAGGTAAAGAATATTTCACTGATTATCAGGTGTACAAGGGTACTTAGGCATTCCAAAGTATAATAAAAGTAGGCTTCCAACAGAAAGAAAAAACATCACAATGCTGCATGAGAGAACAATATACAAATATAAGTTAGTGTCATTTAAAATCACCAAGTTTGCAGGCCATCAAGCTGTGAATTTTATTGAGTAATCATGCAAGGGAATTGCTAATGCGTCTAAATTTTCTGCAGTTTCGTTCCTGCTAAATATAGTATATAGTTGCTACAAGGAGAGCTCTTCTATGCCTTGAAAGTTTTATTATGAGCCCACAAAGGTTACCGTGTGCATCATCTGTTCTCCCCCAAGCTTTAACTTTATCCTTGGTCATGAGCTTGTTGAGCATAACTAACCACAAGATTTTGTCAAATCATGCTTATGTATTAAGTTAAAAGATTTGAGACTGTTCATATCAGTGTAAGTGATAATGTGCATTTATAGTACTTGATGAAATAAAATAAATTGGGTTAGAGAGATTTGAACCTTGTGAAATTTTGCATATACCTTAAAATTCACAGATATAATGGTATATTATTATAATCATAAATACCTTGGGCTCGAATTTAAAAAAAATAATTTAACCTTTTTTACCTTCAACAAATCATCATAGGCTATATCCCTTTCGCTCATTTGTTAGAACTATAAGTAGATATAGTAGTTTAATTATTTTGTCTAGAGAGGTTTATTTTTTTTCCCTTTCCTTTTTTAGTTGTTTAATAATAATTGTAATTGACTCAATTGTTACATACTAAAGATTCTGAAATTTGGAAATTCCTATTAGAGAGTAAACTTTTACTAAATGGACATTATCAAATATCTTGCAATATCTTAATTCATGTAAGCAAATATGAGCTCAAATGCCAATTGAAATTACTATGAGGAAAGTACTAATTTCATGATACATATAAAAATTGATAATGCAATTGCTAAAGGAAATTATTAAGCTTACTAGCTACAAGTCATATGATAACTTAGAGAATGATAGTTAGCCAAAACGCATTTGCGTCTATTAGCTTAATTATTCTATTGATAGACTCTATAGCATAACAAATATTATAGATGTTAATGTAAGAAATGTTGGCAGATATTATAATGTAAGAAATATTATAGATGTAATGGGTATTTGTTTAAAAAGAATGTTCTTTATAGGAGAGATTTATTTCTATATTGCTTTGTTCATTATCAATGATTCAATCAGTACTTAGGTGATCTGCTCTAATTCCCTACGCATCCCTGTTTCATGTTCCTTTAACTTTGTGTTCAGAAGGTTATATGTCTTGATATGTCCTTCTTATTGTTTTAGCCTTTCCTATGACCATAAAACATGGCGAAATAGTAAGAGACATGGGGAGCTGCTAGGAGATCAACAATTTGATGCTATTTAGTTGAGGTAAGGTCTTTGGTGAATGGAGATGTTTTTAAGCTCTATATTTTGTTGCTAAATGTTGCTACTGTTCCAATTTTTTGGTGTGAGTATGTTAGGAGTTGTTTTGATAGGTTTTTGATGTATACAGCTAGGGAATTTTATGTTTTTTTTGGTGTGATGTAATGAGAGATACTCTTCATTTTATTCTTTGGTTGGGGATTTTGATGATTATCTGTAAGTAGATTGTAATCACCCATTTTTTCAAAAATGTATTGCTCGGTTGGGGTCTTCTTTCAAGACCGATGCTAGATAATTGTCTATGCTACTTGACATGTATTTTCTTGAAAACATATTGCACTTGCTGAACCAATTCTATTGTATTCTATCTTGAATGTTGGTCATATTATTTTGTTATAGGACACAAAAGATTTAATGTTCAATCCAAGTATCCCATTCATTCAATGAGATTATTAGGGTGATTCTTAGTTGTTATATCCAAATATCTAAAAGATTTCAACTTATTCGTTTTGACGTTGCATAAGGTCCAATAACTTTATTTTATATCTATATATTTGATCCATTGCTTACATTCAATAATTTAATAACAAATCTTTTTCTAAATAAATTTAAAATTTTATAATAAATGATAAAAATTTTACCACGTGCATTGCACGTGCAATCCAACTAATCATAAATAAACTAAATTTAAGAGAGTTGTTTAGTTAACATCTAATCGGTAAGTTTAATCGGAGTGTTGCTTGTAGAAATATTTAATTTTGTCAAAAATTAAATAATATATACCGAACCTTCCACGGTAGTTTTTAAAACCACTAATTTAATTAAGATTATCCAATGTGACATTATATTGTTCTTTGAATTAGAGATAAAGAGTCTGCAATTAGAGGATGGAGAGAATCTAAATCATAACAAAAGAGTTCAATAGTCGGTACATGCTACTACTAATTAAAGCAAATTACTCTTAATTAAAGTAGTAGTTTAGCTTCGACATCTCTGTGCAAATCAACGATCATGTTCAATGTGCAAATCCCAAAGGGAGCAATTAACTTTTTTTTTAAAAAGTTAGTTCAATTGAAAAAGAGGAATAACAAGCAAGAACTAGACATTCCATCTAAATCATATTTGCTAGTTTATATAGCTCCAAACTTCAAAATAACTCAAAATCCTAACAAATACAAAAATTTCAAACCGGAAAAAAATCAACAAGTAACACCTAACAAAACACAAACCAAATTGACTGGTAATTCGTAGAAGCATTCCCTAATCGAAAAGGCTGAATCCCATATCGTCATCGCTCTCTTCCTTTGGCTCCTCCTGCAATCCCAATACAATTAATTAACCCATTAGTCATATATCAGCAAATCATTTTGTGAAGGGGTTTTTATATATGGTCCTTTAAAACTTTCATATTTTTAAATTAATCTATCGAATCCCTTAAAACTGTTATTTAATCCCCTAATTCGTACAAGTTTCTCCCAGTTAATCCTCATGCTAATCCGTCGTACATATTAGACGGAATATCCCATTGAACTCATCTTTTCGAATTGAGATTCCAATTACACCCTTTCTTTTAGGGCTTATTTGGATTGGCAGTGAGG